AACCAAAGTCAGGTAAGAGTCAGTAAAGTGGGTACTGTCAAAGGAAGGGAGAGATCAGTGCCCAGGTAGAGGCAGGAAGAGGCTGGCAAAAGCCCCTTTCTTTTTTTTTTAGAGACAGAGTCTCACTTTACTGTCCTCTGTGCAGTGCCATAATGTTACAGCTCACAGCAACCTCCGATTTCTTGGCTAAGGTGATTCTCCTGCCTCAGCCTCCCCAGTAGCTGGGACTACAGGCACCTGCCACAATGCCTAGCTATTTTTTGTTGCAGTTTAGCCGGGGCTGGGTTCAAACCCACCACCTTCAGTATATGGGGCTGGTGCCCTACCCATTGAGCCACAGGTGCTGCCCCAAAAGCTGGTTTTCTTTCTTTATCTGGGCAGTGTTTACACAGGTGTCTTCACTTTGTCATTTGCAGTAAGTAGAACATTTATGCATCGTGTACTTTTCTGTAGGTATGTCACTAGTTCATAGTTTTAAAGGATTTAAATAATTTTTTTTTGGTAGAGACAGAGTCTCACTTATCACCCTCAGCAGAGTGCTGTAATGTCACAGCTCACAGCAACCTCCAACTCCTGGGCTTAGATGATTCTCTTGCCTCAGCCTCCTGAGTAGCTGGGACTACAGATGCCTGCCAAAAAGCCTGGCTATTTTTTGGTTGCGGTTTGGCTGGGGCCGGGTTTGAACCCGCCACCCTTGGTATATGGGGCCAGTGCCTTACCCACTGAACCACAGGTGCCACCCAAGATTTATTTTATTTTATTTTATTTTTTTTGAGACAGAGCCTCAAGCTGTCCCCCTGGGTAGGATGCTGTGGCATCACAGCTCACAGCAACCTCTTCTGTCTCTGCCTCCCAAGTAGCTGGGATCACAGGTGCCCCGCCACAATGCCTGGCTATTTTTTTTGGTTGCAGCCATCATTGTTAATTGGCAGGCCGGGGCTGGATTCGAACCCTCCACCTTAGGTGTATGTGGCTGGCGCCTTAACCACTTGAGCCACAGGTGCTGAGCCGCCATCCAAGATTTAAATAATTTAAAGAGTTTTTTTTTTTTTTAAGACAGAGTCTCAAGCTGTCGCCCTGGATAGAATGCCATGGTGTTATAGCTCACAGCAACCTCCAACTGGGGTTCAAGCAATCTTCTTGCCTCAGTTTTCCTATTTTTAGTAGAGATGGGGTCTTAATTTTGCTCAGGCTGATCTTGAATTCATGAGCTCAAGCAATCCACCTGCCTCAGCCTCCCAGAGTGCTAGGATGTAAGCGTTCTCTTACAAACTGGGCAGACTAGATGTCTTGGGGATAATATTAATAGTAATCAGAGGGATGGCATCAGGCCCTTTTCTGTGCCAGGTGCCATTCTGAGTGGTTTATGTGTATGTATTACCTTATTTAATCTTTATAGCCACCCTATGAGGCAGTTATTATTGTTATTCCCATTTCACAGGTGGGGAAACTGAGGTACAGAGCGGCTAAGTCACTTGTCTAAGCTAGTCAGTATAGGAGCTAGATTTAAACACAAGCCATCTAGCCCCAGAGTAGATGCATCACAGGATTATGGTGACATGTGAGCTAGGAGCCTTCATCTATCACATCAGGGTCTAACAGATGCAGTCCCAGTGGGGTTTCCCAGGCAGAAGGAATTCAAGGGATACATGAACTTGAATAGCAACAAAAAATTTATCTCTTTGCTTTTACTCCTCTTTAACTTCCCAATTCTCAAAATTCATTTTGGGGACATCTTAGATCCCTAAGACCCTTTTCAGGGGACAAAGGAAGTCAAAATTATTATCATAATAAGGTTTTTTTAAAAAAATCATAATAATGTTAACATGTTTTTCCTTTTCACTGTCTAGGAACTATGTGATCTGTGATGATGTCAGTGCTCTCCTGGCTAGGAGAATGTCTATGTGTATATTCATGTGGTTTAAAACTTCTCATTTTCGGTGACTCATGCCTGTAATCCTAGCACTCTGGGAGGCTGAGGCAGGTGGATTGCCTGAGCTCACAGGTTCTAGACCAGCCTGAGCAAGTGCGAGACCCCATCTCTAAAAAATAGCTGGGCATTGTGGTAGGTAGGCGCCTGTAGTCCCAGCTACTCGGGAGGCTGAGACAAGAGAATCACCTGAGCCCAAGACTTTGAGAATGCTGTGAGCTATGCCTCCCCGGCATAGCTCTTCCGAGGGGGACATAGCGAGACTCTTTCTCAAAAGAAAAAAACTTCTCATTTTCATTTTCCTACATGGTAAATATTAATAGATTTAACCCACACATGCAATAGCTCAGTAATTTTTTTAGAGTGTAAAGTCTGAGAACTGCTGCTGTAACTGCAAGTTAGCACACCTTTCGGTCATGAGGACAGTGATAGGACCACAGGACTCTCAGCAGACCAGGGGCTTTGATGTGGGAGAAGAAATCACGGATGTTTCCACATCTCATTACAGTCATTGTAGGAATCTCAAACATCTTTCATACACTCGTTGAAACTTCTAAATTACCTTAGTTTTTTGACCTGCCACTAGATCTTGAAGTTTAATGTATTCATAAAGAAGTATCTATGTTATTGTATCATACATTTGTTTTAAAAATATTTGTATATCTGGCCAGGCACAGTGGCTCATGCCTGTAATTCTAGGACTCTGGGAGGCTGAGGTGGGTGGATTGCTTGAACTCAGAAGTTTGAGACCAGCTTGAGGAAGAGTGAGACCCCATCTCCACTAAAAATAGAAAAATCAGCCAGGTGTTGTGGCAGGTGTCTGTAGTCCCAGCTACTCTGGAGGCTGAGGCAGGAAGATCACTTGAGCCCAGATGTTTGACATTGCTGTGAGCTAGGCTACACTTTAACCTGAGCAACAGAGTGAGACTCTGTTGCCAAAAAAAATTAAAAAATTAAAACAAATCACATCTGTAATTCAATAGCATTGATTTCCTTTGTAATTTGATGTATTTATTTTGTCCATTAAAAACATGATCCTGGCTTGGCGCCTGTGGCTCAAGCGGCAAGGTGCCAGCCACATACACCTAAGGTGGCGGGTTCAAATCCAGCCCGGGCCCGCCAAACAACAATAACATGCTGCAACCAAAAA